TCCTCTCTTCTGTCTTTAGGGAGGGAGAACCAGGGGGGTTTGTCCTCTGGGAACCACTTCTCCATCTTGAAAAGCGAAGGCTGCTCCAGCTGCGGAATCTGGCTGTCTCTGGTTTGAGAGTTGGGCTCTCGCTGACGCCTTTCTGGTTGTCTGAGCTCCTGGGGATGCTGGTCATTTTTACACCTAGCACTTCAGCATGAGCAAAGCAAATACTGCTCTGTTGTCCTTGTGATTTGGCTTGATGGGGGCTAACTGTAAAGTTCACTTAGTAATAAAGTTTACTGCATTTTTGAGTTGACGTCTCCTTTACAAAAATGAAATACCCCATAAAGACAACTTTAAAATACCATACAGTTAGCCTTTTATAGTTTAAAAAGTAACAAAATAAATTTTTTACTGTCATAATATATCGCGCTTTTATCCACATACACATTGCAAGTAGCCTATCAAAACCTTAATAGAATATATATAAAAAAGAGCTCTCACAATAAGAATCCATCAAAAGTTGCAGCGTCCGTTAAAAAAAAGCACTTTCCTGAGATGAATGCAGTCACCTAAAAACAAAAACTTCCGCTTCAGACGTCCTGTGCCCTACCGGGAGAGGACGGATTCAAATTGACAAGAGCTCTGTAGGCTTCAGTAATCGGCTTGTTGGTGAAACTGCCTCCTCACCTCCCTCCCTCCTCCCTCCCTCCTCCTCCTCCCTGCTGTCGAAGCGCCCTCCCTCTGTGAACGGAGCGGTGATGCGGCTGCAGGTCGAGTTGCAGGACTGGAATGTTCAGGTCAGCAACGGCAGCACATGATAACTCGCTGCTCGCCTCCACACCTGTCCCAAGTTGTTTGTTACACTCGATAATCGCTTGATACCATGGTTAAAACAGCCTAAGGTTAAAACTGAAAATTGAGTTAGTCTGCCCACTGTTTTATCCGCTTGAAATATTACATGAATCTATCTTAAAGAAAATTCAAATCAGTCATCTGTAGCTGTCTAATCAGCATGCTGTTTGCTTTATGTTTTTGATGGATTATTTCTGCCCAAAGGGCAAATGAAAATGCCTTTGGGCTAGCACTGACACGTTTACGGTCATGCTGATCAATGTGCACCGACCCTGTAAAAATATTAGTTAAAATTGTCAGTATTTTAAGGTATTTTTTCAGATCACAAAAACAATTATTTTTGCTTCCAAGTATTTTCTAATCTAATAGACAAGGAAACAGGATGTGCAAAAACTTAATTTAAACAATAAATGGTGAAAAATGCACATCACAGTCTCCCAAGACTGCAAGACCTTCAAATTCCTTATGGCAAACCAATAGTATCAAACCCTAAGATATTTAATGTTTTTGTCATTTACAATGACAAATACAACAAATTCAGTTTATAATGAAGAAACAGCAAATATCTGACATTGCTGCTTCATAATTAAGCAATTAATTGTTTATTAAAATTGATGATTACTCATTTTGTTTCATTCAGTGCAGACCACAACACATTTTCCTGTGTGAACAGCTCAGTCTTCAAATCATTATGCAGACTCCTGTACTATGTCACATTTCACCATTGTTGGCTGCACACTCTCTAAACTGGCAGGTGTGGTGTCTCAGACACCAACAGACATAGCCTATACGAGAAATCATCTGCCAGACTATTTAGTCAAAAATGACTTGTAATGCAAATAAAATTAAAAACAAATGCAAATTTTTAATTCTAGGTTTTGTAGTGCCCTCCCAATGTTGGGGTTCTGTTTCACTATTGCCCCATAGACCTAGTAGAAATGTACTCAGTTACTTTCAGTGACTGCTTACCACCTAAAGTAGTAGTACTAATTAAAAGCAAAGTAATAAATTAGCCAAAAAGTATTATATCACTTTGTGAAGTTTTGTAAAAACCCCATTCAGGACTGACATGTGAACAACAAAACTGTAAAAATAAATAAATAAATAAATAAAACTTTCTTTTTTTCAATTTGAATTTTTTTATACCTGTTTTGTCACATAAAATATTATGCCTTAGAAATATAATGTAAAAATGTAGTTTGTATGAAATAAAACCAATACAACCAAGCCACATCTTGCAAAACACCAAAGTCATGCATTCACAGTTTTATTCAAGCAAAAATGCATAAGATCTACTTTCAAAATATACTTAAAGTACCAAAAGTTGAAGCACTCATTGTTTAGATGAGCCCATGTCAGAAGATATTTCAGAATGTCCATTGTAATTAATGATTAATCAGTGCAAGCACCTCAAAGCTAATCTCAGCTGACATCAGGCAAGAGGCAGGGTACACCAGTCTATCACAGGACTGACACTAATGGTGATTTTCTTCAAAATTTAGTGCAACAACTTGATAATTTGTTGAACTTGTTGACCCTCTTCTGAATCAGTAGAAGGTCAGTTTCCAGGTAGAAGACATCTAAACGTGTCAGCACCTTTCTGTTCGGGCTACTGCAATTAAAAACTGGCGGAAATTACTGCAGGATATGGTTCTTGTTACCATTGCTAACTCTGAGAGACGAGCCAGTCCAAGTAACTTCAAAACAGTGCTGATTTATTCAAAGGATCACAGGTAAAGTTAACATTACACGCTCAGGTCTCTTGCACCTCCATCATCCTGCAGATGTAAGATGAAAGACCCTGAACCCACCAGGCCTATACATTACGGTATATCCCCTCGGTTGGGCTAGCCCCATACTACACAGAAACGTCAACCGAGATGTCTCTGTTACCAGCTTTGCAGCTGGTCATAGCAATAGTCAAAACATGAAGCAAATCAATGTGTGTGTCTGTTGGTTAAGTGGTGTGTAGCTAAAAACATTCTCACGACCTCTAGTAACATGTCGTGACTTAAACATAAGAACATATTATGGCTAAGGCTACAGTTATACACATCGTAATAATAATATTAAACACCCTGTCTGCTGACAGTCATCAACTCTTCTCTCTAGTTATCCTTGACCAGATGTACCCTGTAGAAACTCATAAGCATGCCTAAGCATTTAACAGTCTAACTAGACATCCTATCTCCACTAAACATTTCTAATACATAAAGTATCTATCCAATTTCTATCTGACTAAAAATATCTAACATTACCAAAACTGAACTGGGTCCAACTGACTGTCTGAAGATATCAGCTAAGCATGCTTGGTTTCTTGAAAAGAACATATTTTAAACTTTAAATTAGTATATGGCAAATGCAGATCCCTTGTTGCCTGCCTACAGCACAAGTGTGATAATACTGCACAACTATATCTTTCTGATATTTCAAATATTCAATAAATTCACCACATCTGGAATATTTCTTGCATCCAGATCAGACATTAGTGTGTGGTAGATATTATGTGGATGTTATCTTGAAATTTTTGTCCAAGCACTGTAGGCACAGTGTATGGAGTTAGAAGCAAAAAATAATGGAATTGGCCCAGTCTCACAATGGTGAAGAATCCTATTAAAAATTCCTAGATCCAGATGATGAGTTGGATCAGCACAATAATCAAACCAACAAACATCAATAGAAACATAACCTCCTTGGTGGAGGTAACAAACCAATGATGAGTTAGCTCTGTGAAGTGAGAACAATTGTATGTTGTAAAGCAGAAAACCACATGACAGCCCCAGTATTAGAAATGACACACACACACAACATTTTAAAAAATATCAAAACCAATCAGACACTTAGAACAGATGGTACGGTGGAGTAGTATCATATGGTCACAGAGATATTTCTTCCTTTATCTTCAGGTGTGGTCTTGGCACAGAAAACCCTAAACATACAATGACATGATTATTAATCCACTGCTCTGCTAGGTTTCTGCAGATATTTAATTTGTTGTGATAAGAAAGTAATTTAGTGGCTTACACATTTGATCCCTTCTTCACATAATCGCATATTTTTGGGTACCCAGTCAGTTGTGCGTTCAGAGAATCAATGTCTTTGCTCCAGGCATCAGACTCTGCTTTTAATGTAGCTTAGTGACAAAGAAATAGAAGAAAGGCTTTAGACTTTGACAGTAATCCTTGTATTTCACCACATGGTGGCACCAGCAGCTGGGCATGACATCTATGTGTTGTACCTTCAGTCTCACTTCGTTCCTTCTCTCTGACTGTCAACTCTTCAGTTGTTGTTTTCTACAATAGTGAATGGAAGGTGTCTGTCAAAATG